TTTACAATGAACCAGGAAATAATAGAATTTGAAAAAAAAATCAGCCCACAACCTAACACGAAGTTATATTTTTAAGCTTTTTGGTGGAGGGCGGATTCTGAAATACGTGAAACAGGCCCTGCGTCCGCGAAAACAGAGACCATGAAGGTTCTTTCATCCACCCATTTTATTATTTCACAATATTCATACCCATTTCTTCGTCATGGTACCATAAACGTTTAGAAACGAACCAACTAGGCGACCCCGATACCACACATTGGATGTGCTAGTAGAATATTGGTCATCTTGTCTCTTCGCATGGATGGTATTCACCCCCGGCTTAAAGTGACAAGCCAGCTCGCGTTTTAATTAAACATAAACATAGTTTTGATATTTCAACTCTTTTTACGACCTATCTAAACATTATCTCAATATCTACATCACCTTCTGTATATCACAATGTTATTGTCCTACGATGTCATAGGACGCTTTAAGATTTTTCACAGAAAAAGCAACAGTAATGTGTTATTTTTGTGTGGTCTAAAACGTATCATTTTCTAACCAGATAGTTTTACGTTCTGCTTCTTTGCAACTGACATCGCTTGATGCTTGTCAACTGGTCATAATTTTGATTTGACTTTGGTCTATAAACCTTTTATGTTCATAAATCCATACTGGCTAACGACCGCAACTTTCTGAATTCAGCCTCTGAGACAAGACTGATGCCAAAGAAATCATTTATCAATTTAATTAAGGTTTTAACTAACTTCCTTCTTGATGATATCTGACTGTTTTTTTATGACTGCTCGGATTTAAATGCTTGGTTTTCTTCTTGTATTCTGTTCATTATGAAAAAATATGATTTGTTTACTTCAATCTGAATAGTCTAGTTAATGCCACCAATATTATTTTGGATTTTGTTTGTTTTGTGGTTCGGATCGTGAGTACTTTTTTGTTATTTTTATGTGGCTTTAATGTTCAGCTCAATGAGGTGTATAATGATTGTATTGAGAGGTAATGGTCAAATCACGAGAGGCATTACAAGATGTAGTTAAACTGCCCCTTCTCAATTTCAACAATAGGTCGATAATCTAACAACTACCACAAACCGCCCTGTACACAATATAAGGGCTATGGTCATTCTAAACTGTCCCTTCTGATTTTCAACAATACGTCGTTAATCTAACAACTACCACAAACCGCCCTGTACACAATATAAGGGCTATGGTCATTCTAAACTGTCCCTTCTGATTTTCAACAATACGTCGTTAATCTAACAACTACCACAGACCGCCCTGTACACAATATAAGGGCTATGGTCACTTTTAACTGTCCCTTCTGATATTCAACAATACTTCGATAATCAAGCAACTACCACAAACCAACCTGTACACAATAGGTGGACGGTCACTTTTTCGTATTGCCCTCTTCACAGCTACTGGTCAAATAAACCCTAAATACAATTAAACAGAGGTCAGATAAACTGTCCAGTACTTACAATATAAGGGGTCGAGTAAATTTCTGCAAACAATTAAGAGTTGGGTTCAGGGATCAAATAAACCCCTAAATACAATTGCAAGGGTGAAAGGTCAAATAAACTCTCCACTATTATTGTGAGGGTGAGGGGTGACCAATGTCCAACAATGCCCAGGGGTCACTGAAGACAATATGTGAGGTTCTGTAAGGTTGAAACGGTTAGTTAGTAAAGAGGTGATATATAGGAAGATCGTAAAGTATACGATACACGAGCCTCAATGATATTAATGATATGCTTAATAAATAATCTTAATAAACTATGTATTTATCGGTTTGAGTTTTTATCCATTTAATAGGTAGTATTCCTTTAATGAACTATGTATTTATCGGTTGTTTGCTTTTAATACAAAGTTTATCCACCTGGATGATCATTATTGGTGGACAATGGACACTTCCTGTACATTAGTATTAATCTTATCTGAACAAATCATCTGTCTTGATGGTGTATCTGGACGCAGGCAAATCCAGCACACAAAGCATTGATAGTTTCATGTGGTCAGAATTTTGCCATGATCAGAAATTATAGTTGGCTCGAAAAACTATGTTTGGTACTATGGCAGTTTCCGACACCATGCACAGTTGCAATACGACACCATAACACCAACTGTACAGTACACAACGACAGTTTTCTGTGGTCAGAAGAGGTTATCTTGTCCAACGTGCTGATCAGAAATAAGTATTGCACAAGGGACGTTTTCTGCAGTCTACACGAAACGTTTCGTGCAAAAATCATTGCGGAAGCGATTTCGATCTTAGTATATGTTCCTGCAGTTTTGGCATTAGTGAGGACCTCCGACTCTCGTAATGTATATAGTATTTTGGAATCGAACTCTAAACCATTGTTAACATTGTGATTGTATCGTCTGATAAAACCCTGACTATCCCAGTACAGTTCTCACAACCTAATCAAATAATGTTTAATATTTTAGAACCAGATGAAAAACTCCAGTTGTAAATGGACCGTTCATCGCGGATGTTTAAAATGCTGACAATCCCAGTACAAAAAATTCAAATATCATTCTATTCATTTCACAAAACATAAACATTAACCACATGTTGCGAGACAAGGATGGACGCCATTAGTCATTGTTAGTACCGGGTTCGAATTTCTTACTTCGCCTATAAATAATGGAGAAAACATTGACGCGGTGTCAAAATGTCACCATGATTTTTTATGTTTCTATTGCCTAATATATGTTGGACATATTTGAAGCGTGTTGATAACGTCTGTAAACTCTCTTCTAATTTCATGGAAGATTATCCCACTCTAGAGGATGGAGTGACAAAGGTCTTGTTCAAGTTATATATTCCTCTAAATATACTAATTGTTGTTATAGAAGATACCTTCAATGTTCAAATTGAGGTTGTAGAGTTATTGTCAAGTTGTAAAGTAGACTTAGAGGGGTCGTTTAATTTTATGCCTATCTATCCGGTTGTTTGTGTTGTTTTTTTTTAAAACCCATATGGGTTTTTTTTTAAATAGAAGTCAGAAATATCCTATCCATTTGTTAACAATCAGATTTTGAAGTTTTTCAAGTCCTCAAGAGGGAACTGGAGTAGTGTGTATAAAATATATGTAGAGAATTGTAATGTTCATTATAGCCGTTTATATCAGATTGTAGACGAACCACGTACCAGATGTTCATTCTGGAAAGCGATTTGTATAGCAAGCATGGAGCTCTCTAAACTTTTAGACGAATGCATCACTTTAATAAAGTAATCGACACCGTAGTATTGTTGAATAAATATGTTACATATTTCTCTAGTCGCGGTTTCTTTTGTTCTCGTATTTTTTCTCGAATTTCCAGCCACAAGAAATATGTGAAGTTATGAAAGGATTATTGTGTTTGTTAGAATTATAGGTGAAATAATATATAATATATGAAAACAGGATTTGTATATCACAGTGGGGATATTATTACTGGTAATTCACCATCTTCACAAAGTCAATGTCTTATACATTGACTGCAATAGTCACCTTTCTTGTATCACAACAGTTTAATAATGCAGCGATTTGATTGGATTGTACGCTAGCAAATACAATCAATCACAGCCCTCGAACAGACAGACTGTAAATATTATAGCTTTGTTTTCTCAGACTCTGGCTCTGATTGGCTATTTTCAATGACGTACGATCCAATCAAATCGCTGCATTTACAAACGTTTATGATATAAGAAAGTTGGCGATAGCAGTCAAGGTATAAGACACAGTTCGTAATGGCCTGGCATTGTGAAGATGATATCACAGTAGGAATAAGACTACTAGTAATACACTAGACGTGGCGTTATTTCAATATAAACCATATTTCTATATAACGTATTTAACGTTCTAACACCTTGTCACCTCTCTTTCTCTCGACTTTGTTTTGATTGTGAATAAGCCACACTTGCGATATATGATAAATATATCTTTTATATGTAAATGTGGTTTAAATTTCAAATCCAATGTGTCTGACCCAGACGAGACGAAAATTAAAGGGATTGCTAGGAGTCTTTAAATATTAATTGTATTAAAGCTAAGTCCTTTTTCTGATATGTAAACAATGCCAGTATGTTGAGACTTGAAGCATCTCTGATGAACCTAAAATGAAACAGAATGTAGTATAACGGTATACTATGTGCTTTTCATTTGGATAAAGAAGGTAGCATGAATACTAGCTATGCAATGGGCAAGAAGGTCTTCTTTGTCAAAATGAATAGAGTTTTACGTCCTACTTTTCTGCACCTCATTAGGATAATGAAGACAGACAAAGATGTGCAATAATGGAAGACAGTGACATTTGGCATTCTCTTGCCAATCCTCGTTAGCTAAAACATACATTAATGAAGGACATAAACCTCCATTAATGTTATTTAAAATCTCAGTAGAGCGTTTCCTACTTACAGTGTATTTACCTTTCTGATGCACCAGTATGCACTCTATTCATGTTGTATAATATATTATTATGTCAATAGAATGTATGATATATTCTCAATGAGTTATGAAAAGATTTATATGTACCATGAAGTACCATAAACTAAATACAAAATTGCCCTACAATAAGATGATTATACTCTTTGTCCGTTAAAGGTGCAATATGTACCAAATAACATGTGGATATTCTAAATATTTATACCACAGTCTAATATCAGAGTTTAACCCGAGTGTTATGGTGAAATTATGACATAAATTTATATATGCACATGAAGTTTATAATGCTGCAAGCTATTTACCACAAGGATAGAGAGACGTATTATGATTTTCTCCCGATTTCATAACTGATGTGTCAAATTTATTGCAATCCCTGTGTTCTACATCCAAAACAAATTCATATCTGAGGAACAAGTACTTATCTTTTTTTGCCGACAAAAGGTAGATCAATTGTTATAAATATTATACGCTCGACTCTTGCCAAAACCGAGCTACCTAGGGTGGAATCAGGTGTTTCAATAGTAATTATGTATATCTATTGCAAACTCAATATGTTTCTATTTATATTTCAGAATGTCGTCCTTGTGATGAGAGAGAACTAATCATATCATTCTGTACCAGTGATTTCGGTAAGTGTTTCTTTTTATTTATTATAATAATGCCCATGTGAATCTGGGGAAATACCCTACGAACTCCTTTGCTTTGGAATACTTTTCTTACCTTTGGAATTGCATTGATTACGAGTGTAAAACCGCATCCCACAAGGCTATATCTATTTATTTTGTGGATACGTGGTAAAAGATGAAAGAACTCCGTTGCATTTGACTGTATTTTTTTGTTATTGGAATTGACTCAGTGACGTAAAATTCCACTTTGACAAAGAGGATTAGAATAATCTCTATCTCACAGTGTTAACTTGTTAACTGTTAGATTCATCGGATTTAGATACACATCCTGTACAACTTGTTACAACTGGGACAGTAACAGGGAGGTAAGATGTTGGAGGAAACTAACATCACGAACGGAAGTGACGCCATCTTGAATAATAGATGATTTAAACAAGTTTTGGCTTGGTTTCATGTCTACCTTGGTTGATGTAGACTTAAGCTTATGGATTGTGGTTTTGATTAGTTGTTATCGGTTTTTCTCCTTCTAATTCTAAGCCTAGAATAATGTTCGAACACGGTTGTTAAGATGGTGGAAGGTCACTACGTCACGAACGGAAGTCACACTATCTGACGTAATGACCGACCACCTGTATCGAAGAACTTATGTCGTCTGACGAAATTAAACTATATCCAGTTTCTCACCTTTATTTTCTAAATTCCTTCACATCTTTTGGTAATCACCTCAAACAAATTTCCGTCTCAAGTCGATTCTGGCTCCTTCTTTAAACAAATCTACAGCCTTTATGTTCTAAAACGAGCACCGACGTATTGTCTGTGTCAACAATTCACGTCTGCTCGACATTGGCCGGACGACACGGTGTCCACAAAAAACAAACTATTTTCTCCTGTAAGAAATTCCAGAGCGCCATGCTCTCAGCTGGACTTTTACCCAAGTTCATTCATGATTAAAAGAAGTCAAATATTATAATGGATTATAGAGCCTACCGGATTGTTAGTTTAAGGTCAAGGTCTTTGATGGTACCGCAGCAAATGTCGAATTTTGCCCCGGGTCTGTTATCATTAATATACCTTTTTTATCGACGATGATTAAAGCCAGCGGGGAGACTATTTACCTAATTTCAAAGGATCATTGTGTCTATATTCATATATATATATCAAGAACATTCCAAGCAATTGTATATAAAGATATAATTATATGTTTAAGAATAGGCTAAATTGTGACTGTCGCTGCTAACGATATAGAGCATGATCATCCATAAAGAACATCTGACATAGTTCTGCGACTGGGTTTCATCTTTTCGCCGTTTCATCTTTTTCCTCACAAATTTCACATAGCTAAGAAAGAGACATTCTTCAACTATTTCCAAACGTCGTGTATAATACAGGAACGCTCAACATACCGGAATATCTGATAGGCGAAACAAAATGTTATTTTTATGTTGTTTACTCACTCTCTAAGTTTAGGTCAAACCGTGATATATGGGATGAAAATATGTGAATTACTCTCTCTTTGACATAGAGTGTCATCAGTATAAAACACATAGCAATATAACTACCGTGATTACAGTGGATTTATGATAATCCTTACAATGATATAGAGCTTTTGGTAAAACAATAGATTAATTATAATCTTTCAGAGACTTTCGCAGGCCTTTTTTACTTTTAAGAAGACATATCGGACGCTTCTCCAACTAACAAGAGCTACAGGTATACAAGAGCTACGAGTATACAAGAGCTACGGGTATACAAGAGCTATAGGTTGTAGGCTACACGTTAAAGATCACTCGACAAGATGGAATCGAAAGAATTCCCTTATAACACACTGCATAGTGTTGCCTGTATTCATTATCATTATTCATTATCAGGTGCAGAAACATAAAACTCCATCTTAACGTTGGTGTATTTTCTATTTACAGTTGTGGTAGGAAGTATGACAGAAGTCACCCTAGATTCACAGCAAGATAAAACCAGGATCGGTGTGGAGGTAGATCAGTTGATCAGACAGAGTTCAGATGACCTATTTACCAGGGTCAAGAGAAGTGCAGAATTGACCAATCAAAAATCCCCACCTTCAATCCGTTCTAATAGTTTATTATATGGACATATCTTCGCGCCAAATCATTGCGGTATTCAACACGGTGCGGGAACATTTTTATTCACCGGAAAGATGCGTTTGGGTGAGCCGAACCTACGGTGTGCACCATTTTATGAAAATTGGCGACGTGTGTTAGAAGCTGCCGTAAAAGACGGTACGATGGAATGCTCCTATGAATAAATAATGGTTTCATTCCACAGCATACGATAAAAACCTTTAGGCAGCATTTCTCTGCGTTTAAACCATTCGAAGGGCATAATTCTTAGTAAGCTTATAGTAGCTCTGAAACAATTCTGTGCATATCACGTGATAATTTCCAAATACGCGATTGGATGAAATGTGTGTCACCAAGAACTTCCCTTGTGCCATTGTTGTCCAGATAGGCAAAAGGATTTAATTGCAGACTTAAAGAAAAACTTCTTGTGTGCCATTTTTATTCAATATGAATTTGCAATATCTGCAAATTGTGGGCGAGGACCTTCTCCTTGTGTGAGAGACGTTCAGAAACTGAACTCTGTGAAACGGTTGTGTTATATTACGTGTAAAAACAAAGAATAGACGAAGTCTAAGGGCATAAAACAGAAATATAGTTGTATATAGTAGTGTATAGTTCGCCCAATACGTTCGTTATTATCCGTTTTATTTGAAATTCGTCCTGAGAGTGAAGTTAACTGTTGAAATTTTTTGAATATATTATTATGGTATACCACATGGTGTGACGCTGAAGACAATGAGCGACATATCCATGCTAATCCGAACCGATAAGAACAACTTTTAATGCAGTGTTTAACACCAACATTATGTGACATTGTAGAGGACAATGAAGCGAATCATATTGTAATATGTGTTTTCTATAATACAATACATCTTCAACACTGCTCATAGCCACGTCCCCCTAGTTAACTTCGTCCTACGCTGTACAAGACAACGTAGTGAATTATGACGTAATATATGTTTTATAATAATATTATATATTATAATATAGACCTTCTGGATGATCCATAGGAGCTTTTAAAGCGGCAAATATCGGATGTATCGGGTGAAAAGTTTGTAAATAGGACTTGTACATACAAAGATATAAACTGGTTATATCTCTAAACTATAATAATAGTGCTTCTTCAATCTTAGTGCTAAATACTTTTATGTATAGTAGAATCTGGATCTACGAGAACTTTATCCCGAGGGTAGGCCTATTATAGGGCCCTGTTTGTTATAAAACTGCCTAAACCTCTATTGATTGTAATATCTTAAAAGTGGTGCTTAAAAACTTTTATTGGACCACTAATTTACATTCCTTGATAATGATCTCTATAACCTCATCACGTACCAAACTTCCTTATTGACTACTATTCCGTAAATTCTCGAAACCATACTCCCTCTTCTGATACTTACAAAACACCTATGAATAATAATCAATGAACTAATGTACAGGGGCCCTACATAGAATTTGCACCCCCATCCCCATCCTTTCTCGTCTCTGAGACTACGCCCCTTGATTTCTGCAATGAAAATAGAAGATTTTAAAAGTATATTTTGATAACTGTAAACTGTACTCAGCTAAATTTTACATACAAAACATTCTAATCTGTTAGATATAGCTGTGATATAAACTTTATTACTGTAACCACGCCAATATCAACATCGTACCCACTTCATATTGAAATTACCTTCAAACTCCTTGTTATCATTAGAAAATATCAACTCGATTTCAGCATCGATTAAAGATTAATCTTCAATAGAATTGGTGTAATTACATTCTTGGGTTTATAAAAGTAAATAGACATTTTGACGTTGACGACATTTGGGAGAGGGATGTAGCTCAGTTTGGTTATGGTGTCGTGAATCTTATGACGTCAATTTGACTGTTTACATTAGTGAGGTTTTGATTTTGACATTTGAGGGAGGGGTGTAGCTCAAATTGATCACAGTGTGCTGAAACTTGTGACGTCCTTTGACTGTTTACATTAGTGAGGTTTTGATTTTGACATTTGAGGGAGGGGTGTAGCTAAGATTGATCAGAGTGCTCTAAATCTTATGACGTCACTTTGTCTGCATGCATGTTTGATGACATTGACAAGTTAACGGCTGCTTCCATTAACTAATGTCACAAACTGCTTACGTGGGTGAGGTCGCGAGTTAATTCAAATTGAGTCGTGTGTTCTAATATAAGTCTGGACAAGATTATGAAATATAACGAAAACACTTTCGATGATCTTTAACACTGACCAAACTGTAATCGGAAAGATCATAACTACTTGATGCCAAGTGCAACGATTGGTTGGTTGGTTTCCACTGTTCCCTAACTACACGACGTAAAGAATATACATGCAGTTGGGTTGACATCTATTACAGTCACTGTAGGCTTCATACCCATTTATGTCATACAGATGTGAAATGTCGGCTATGAGCAGCGCAAGTGAGCACCCCCCCCCCCCCCCCTTTAATAAATTGACAATAGGCCTTCAAAGACTGGAAAAAATCCTGACCGACCTTGAACTGAAGCGGTCAATGTTATTGTTTGTATATTGTTGTTTATTTTTGTATATTGCTTCCTATTTGTATATTTGAGAAGAATTATGTTTGTACAAATACAAACTTATGTTAGAGAATAAAATATAAAACATAATTTATCAAGCTTTCAATTAGTTTACAGAAGACAAACGTATTGGCTAGAACCACTTTTCTAGTAGGCCTACAATTTTAACTATTGTCTACCTACAGAGATCGGAACGAGCAGGTTGGGGAAGGGGGCAACTGTATTTTGTAACGACTGCAAGCAATACTGATGACATCTGAGAGAATCATTTTTGCGATGGAAAATCAATCCAAGCTCTCCGGCGACAGGAAAAATTACTATTGCTACCAGTTTACCTAGTTCTGTTTTCTAACAAAAATTGGTCTTTGTTGTAAACCAGAGCGGTCAGAATCTGCAACCATTATTCAGTTAATTGCAGTTTTGGTAAATTTCTAAATATGAGTATTTCGCGTACGCCAACGTCGACAGATTCGATATACTGCTTTGAATCACCAGTTGCTCTTTCTAGCAAAGTTGGATCTTGAGGCCGATCAGAGCGATCGGAATATGTGACCATTCAGTTGGTCGACTTGGACGGATTCTATGAGCCCTTTTTGGATAGCCGGTCGACCTTTAGATTTGACCACCCATTTGATCTGAGTTGCTAGTATTTCGTCAATTTCTTAATATGAGCGTTCGTTTCTGTCAACGGCGACGAATTCGATCTGCTGCATTGAATCGTCTGTCGAACTGAAACAACTTAACATTTGAATATCAAACCAGAAATAAAGAAATGTTGAGCAATTTGTTGACAATCCCAAAATATCCTCAAAATGTCACGACCTGGCTGTATTTCAAAATGGCGACCGCCAATTTCACACATAGTTTGAGAAGTCGATAAAGATTATATTGATAGTTTAAATAACCTCAGTGGATTGGAAGGTTGTCGCGTGCTTCGACTATCATTTTCGTGAAAAAAGGGATTTAACACAACAGTCCGAAGATAACGAAAAAAGTTATGTAAACTTCCAGTCACTTGCCAATATCTTCTTAAACAAACACACGATCGAAACATTCTAAAAAATCTCAAACCGTGTTCTGATCACCATAAAGGCGAAGACAGCAGGGGGCTGGGGTTTGGAGAGTAAACGTTCCAACAGGTGACCTACTACAAAGCCTAACACGTCCTTTGACAATGGTAAATGTAATACATTTTGCTGATTTCTCGCCCTCTCCCAAGATTTCTGCTTCTGTGTCTATGAACGCCAGCAAACATATCAAGGTACCAGAGGTAAATATCAACACGAAGGTTGGGGAACGTTTTGGGGACTGCGGAGTGTCTCTTGCAATCTTGAAAACGTCAACTTTCCTCATTCCTTCAGTTGACACAACCTAATTAGGTAAAATACTCGAGGAAAGCATTGTCACGAAACAGTTGATGGAAAGAATCTTTGAGAAATAAATTGTTATTCTTTAAACATATGGGTGTGTCTTTCTTTCGTTTTTAAAAAAAAAAATAGCCAACGTCTTCTTGAGTAAGATTTCAAAGTACACTTATGGGAAAGTCGAAAACCATCACGAAGTCAATCCGCCATATTGAAAACCAAACTCGAGCAAATATAAGAAACTGCTGTTTTGAATACGAAATGACTTGTATTTTTCTAATCAAGGGAACAATCCTTATTAAAAACAAACCGAGGCTGACAAGTGGTCGTGAAGTGCAGTAAGTACATGGGAAAAAAAGACAAACACACAAAAACAGTTTTCTTAACGAACATGTCAAGCCAACGTCTCTCACTCTCAGGAGAATTTAATTAAAATTCTGAATTTTAAGAGAGAAACGTATTTAGATAGACTATATCATTATCTATTGAAATGTCAAGTATATTTACCAAGCAAGCCAGCGTTTTACATCTACCTTATCGTTTATATCTGAACATTTCAGCGTAGGCCCATAGAAAAGTGTAGATGACAAAGGGCGAGGATTGTTTATTGGTTTAGTCTACTCTATTACAACTATACTTCAACAGGGCGGGTAACACTTTACTTATTTCATTCTTTTATCCACGCGACACGCGCTTGACACAATCAGCACGTGTTATATAAGTAAATGTAGGTATAAATTTTCAAATTAAAAGCCCTGTCAATCAGCCAAGCCTAATGTGACGTATATAGGTAAAATATAGTCCATCAACTGATAATAACCTAGGTGTCCCTCTATAATGATCATCATATGTTATAACCCCTTATTAACGCCACTGCCCTTAGTCCGAGACCTGCTGACTTTTACCTAGCCTCTTATAGTTCTAGTGACCCTATGTTAATAGTTACCAAATGATTGAAAAATTTACACTGGTGGTTAAATTTCACAGTGACTTGTGATATGGTTGCCATTGCCTGACTCCCGGTCGACCTCCGTTAATGGTGACTATCAAAGGTTTGATATTGGGTCAGTATGTATCGGACTAGACTGTCTGCCCAAAGCGATATTATTGAGACCCTATTATGATATATATCGTCCATGGCGATATCTCATATCATATCAAAATGTTTCTCAGGCGACCTTTTATGTTAAATTACAGAGTGAGGCCATATGAATATAATCATTCTACACATCATAACAGGGCCATCAGGGTCAATTGAGGGAAGGCTGGGAGAGGTATGGGTGGCACGATATTGTTTTTAAGAACATTACACACGAACCTGAACTCTCTGGCTTGAAATCTCTGAAAGTCGCAAAGTGTCATAAGGTTTATTATTCATTATTCTAAAAACTTAATAAACGAAAGCCAATGAAAAATATGACACAGAGAACGTTAAATTCTATTTGAAACCGGAAGTGACAAGGTTATTTACACACAGTGTTGAAAGGCAAGGTCAAAACACGTCTCCTTGCTGTACACCTACATCAATATATTTCACTGGAAAGGTGAACTAGAAGGTCTACATGATTGACACATTGTGGGAGCACTAACTACCGCCAATTATATAAGATAGAAATAAATACAACATCAAACGATGGTCAAATGAGGCAAATATTGGAGGTCCGGGAAGTGAACATCTTCACGCTACAATCCACTTTGCCCCAGGATTAAAACTAATTCACATATGAAGTATCAATGTTGAAAATATTAAACTAATGCCAGGTAATCCAAGTGTTAACTCGCTAGGATTATAGAGCGTTGGTTGGCGGTGAGCCGAGAGTAGTCTGTTTGTTTTTGAGCCTGTTTAACCAAGTTTTTATTGACAGTAGGTAAATATCCGGCCTACAATGTCGTCACTTAAATTGTTAAAAACAAGATAGTGGTGGTTCGTACATCGTGCTTTTTACCTTTACTGTGCTTTACACCATAGTAACGTGGAAACGATAAAAAGGGGCCACTAAGAAGTATTAAAGGGATACAGACGTTATATATATTTGCTTTACCAATTTGGGGATAGGGGGCTGCTGATTTCAGCATTCCAGAGCCCTTTTGTCGATTAGATTTTGTTGAATTGCAGGAAAACCGAACGTTCATTTTCATAATAAACTATTCCTCTAAATATCGTCTTGACCAAAGCTTGATTTTGACTTTAGGCATGTACGGGATGGCAAAACTCATAAACATTCCATGGACACGTGTTACAGCGAAATATGAATGTTGTAGTTATCAAATAAAGCAGCCTATTTAAATTCCCATATGTTTGGGCTTGAAATGGCCCATTGCAAAGAAAGTTAGAACATTCAACTAGAAATATTTTGATGAATTGTCAATTCCGTTTCCTTTGTCGTGCGTTTATTCCAAGAATTTCCCACCGATATAAAAAAATATTGGTCAATAAACACTGCCTTTATCCCAGCTTGTTATTTATAAAATATATCTGTCATTATGTCATAGATAACCCGAGCCTTTCCGCCATTATTCATCGCACCTGTTATTGGGGACAGAGGAAATTGTGTGGGATATAATATTAATATCATGTTATGAATAAGGGTGGAAATGGGTGAAGTACGGTTTTAGGTTTCTACTGGACAGAGCTGAGACTGGTCCTCCTATGCATTCCTCCTCTCCATTTATATTTTCATCGAGGGCTTTTGGGAGTAAGCTTCAGCTTGGACCTTAAAAGTATATAGAATTCATGGTTCCTGGGCATTGAAAGTACGACATCAGTTTTAGATTGTCCTTAATACCAACCATTCTAGGCTGTGGATAATCATCAAAAATGTTTAACAGAGGCTGGTAAAAGTCAGCAAGTTCGGTCTAAGCACGATTTGGATACGTATTGATGTTGTTAATTTGTATCATGTGATTGTACTTGTTTCTTTATATATTGCCTTTGACCAGAAATGGTGTAAAATGATGCAAATAAAGATTTATTTATTACAGTAATTGCATTTACGTTGATGTCAATTACAAGGTTTGATACGTACCCCCTGTTGTTTAATTACAGCAGAATAAATTGATGCTGAAGCAGATCTTGTTAAGTTACAAAACTGAGATCATTATCTCCCTTGATTTAACCCTGGTCTGTAATCAGGTCATCTAAATAACTCAGTGAGCAGTAAAAGAAGGGAGTAGAATAGGTAGAGAACAATGATACCATCCTTACCTAAACTATACAAGACATGAACAATATGATAGTTTCTAACAAGATTTCTTGATAATGTTGAACAGTTAGAAAATAGTCGCGTGGTTTTCACTAAATTGACCAACCTACTGATATTAGTCCGTGATAAATAGGTACATCAAATTATCTGTCCATCTGAATGGAAATTCAGGTGCTTCAGTACAAGATGGAGTGACTTGACATAAACGAGAGGACTTACAACTGTCGAGGGTTGTGCGAGTATAAATACTGCACTTTTTGCTTTGTTTAAGACAGCTCAGTAATTATTATCGAGGAGAAAAAGTCTGAAAATTTTCTTAACCAAAAATATGCGATAGAGACTATGACTATCAGTGCGGTACAATATCGGATATTTATAAACAATTTACTTCCAATATGATACTTGTTTATTGTATCTTTAGGTAATATTTAGCAAAGTTTCGAATATACAACCAATTTATTTATAAATATGATACAATACTTGTATATACTACTTAACTATCAGTGACTATGTAATATTCAGCAAGTTCCCAGTTTGGGTCTATATTGATGGGTCTTTATAGTCAATTTATTTCTAATATGATACTTGTATTGTATTTCCTCAATGACAGAGAATAGACTAGTAAATTAAAGACTATAACAATGATAATTGTAGTGTACACCTGTCTTCAGTTAATGAGATGGCCAGGTAACAATAGCTCCAGTGTGGTCCACCCTTCATCTTAAATCTTGTACCAAGACAGGGAGGTGAATTGAATTCTGTGTAATATTACTTAGAACTAGTTTCTGTACAGATTTTACTATCAAGAACTGTCAGCATTCCTAAGAAAAATTTATATGTAGAGGACCACTATTTGGAGTCGATTTACACTATGCAAGTCTAAGTGTTTTGATTATGTATTTTAGTGGATGGCCACTGGAGTCACCCAATGAAAATACACGAAATGAAACATCCAGATCAGAAGGTTCATCCAATTGCAAAAAAGTTTGGTGATGTCTGGTGCTCATGTAACACAACAGAAAACCACCTTCAGGATTATAGGACAAAGTTAGGTGATGTCTGGTGCTTATGTAACACAACAGTGAACCACCTTCAGGAATATAGGTGTTAAGGTGATGTCTTATGGTGCCAGATCAAGCATCTGTCCATCCATATGAAACTATGTATGGTTTTTACATGAAAATAACAGATCCTGGTATCTAGGTCAGGCCAATAGATTCTAGTATCTAGGTCAGGCCAATAGATTCTGGTAACTTGGTCAGGCCAATAGATTCTGGTAACTAGGTCAGGCCAATAGATTCTAGTATCTAGGTGAGGCCAATAGATTCTAGTAACTAGGTCGGGCCAATAGATTCTGGTAACTAGGTCAGGCCAATAGATTCTGGTATCAAGGTCAGGCCAATAGTTTCTAGTAACTAGGTCAGGCCAATAGATTCTGGTATCAAGGTCAGGCCAATAGATCCTAGTAACTAGGTCAGGCCAATAGATTCTGGTATCAAAGTCAGGCTAATAGATTCTAGTAACTAGGTCAGGCCAATAGATTCTGGTATCAAGGTCAGACTAATAGATTCTGGTATCTAGGTCAGGCCAATAGATTCTGGTATCAAGGTCAGGCCAATAGATTCTAGTAACTAGGTCAGGTCAATAGATTCTGGCATCAAGGTCAGGCCAATAGATTCTAGTAACTAGGTCAGGCCAATAGATTCTGGTATCTAGGTCAGGCCAATAGATTTTGGTATCAAGGTCAGGCCAATAGATTCTAGTAACTAGGTCAGGCCAATAGATTCTGGTATCAAGGTCAGGCCAATAGATTCTAGTAACTAGGTCAGGCCAATAGATTCTGGTATCTAGGTCAGGCCAATAGATTCTGGTATCAAGGTTAGCCAATAGATTCTGGTAACTAGGTCAGGCCCTAAGGTTCTAGTAACTAGGTCAGGCCAATAGATTCTGGTAACTAGGTCAGGCCCAAAGTTTTGTATGCTGTTAATTGCAAATATAAGACATTAAAATGCTTCAAATAATTTAATAAGTTAAGATTTACATCATGAAATAATAACAAAAAAGAAAAAAAATAAAAATATCAAATTTGTACTAAATTCTAAAAAACATGAAATTGCATCAAGTGCAAAATATAAAATAACAATAACAAAGGGAAAATTGAAGCTGTTCTTTAAAAAAAATTTTTTCATTTTTTACAAATTGAGTACATACATATTGCACAGAAGACTAAAATGTTTAGTAAAAAACAATTTTTTTTTTTCATAGTATATGGCGTACAAAATAGTGACTAAAAAGCCCAAAAAAAGCAAGTCCTTAATCTTGAATCTTCAGTTTAAAAAAAAATTAGGACACTATGTAAATAATAAAATCCAGCAAAAAAAAATGTGAATGCTGAAATCATTAATTTGTCAATTTGACACCTGAAAACTTGGATCATATCTGTAGTAAGAGCAAAATAAAATCATGATTTAAAAAAAGTTCCAATTCCATTACTTCAACTTAACACCATACACCTTTTTCCCCTCTAGATAAATTACTTGCCCCTTTGGATATATTACTTGCTCCTTTGGATATATTACTTGCCTCTACGAGCAACCAAGTCTGGCTACAGGGAAGACAGGGTGTTTCCAATTGGAATTGAGTGAAGTTAGTTTGAAGTATATTTAAAGGGGTGATACGATTTTCATTTTTGTACAGTTATACTTGTACTTTTGAAGACTATTTACACATACTATTATTCAAGACCTTGAAAATAGCAAACTATGACTTGATAAATTACTTGTTAATATTATCTATCTATAATATACAGACATCAAAATGCAAATAAACTGAGAGTTAAAGATGAATAAAAAGTTAATAAATGACAAGTAACATCAACTATCTAAAAATATCATGTGATAAAATAAAACTAATAATGGGACTGAAAGAATATAAGTAAGAATTTACATGTAATCTTAAGTTATATATGATATAAATAAAAAAATAAAAAATATTAAAACAGAACCTGAAACATGCTGTTACTGAATATCGCACAGCATAAAACCTTCAGTTACAACATGTTTCAGGTTCTGTTTTAATAATTCTACACTCTACAATTGATGTATTGAGCACTATTTAAACTGTGAATAATATAAGTAGATATAATAAATAAACCTTTGTACCTGAGTAATAGGTCCAGTTTCAGAGAAAATCTGTCATGTTGTTTCTCTGTTTTGTTTGCATATACACAATATCAAGCTAATACTTATTCTATGACCTTGACCTTGAACAGCCTTTTCTTATTTCAGAAGAATTTGTAAATTCAGTTGGATTGTACACTACCGAATACAGCCAATCAGTGCCCAGGACAGAATGGCTGTAAATAGCATGGCTCATTTTTTACAGACTTTCTGCCAATGACTCTGATTGGCTGTATTTGCAGCGTACAATCCAATCAAATCACTGCATTTACAAAACATCAGTTATACAAGAAATGTGGCTAATGATCTCAAGGTATTATACAAAATTATAGCTTGACATTATGACCATGTCTTGCTGGAAAACATTTGATTTACTTTGGGACAAAATTAAAATTGAATTTTTAATATATAAAGGAAGGTAATCAGTATTTCCAATATCTTTAACACACTCTATATCTTGCCTTAAAGTCTTCACAAATAACCCTACTGAACTTTCTTGATAAAAACTATAAAAACCCAAAACACAATAAAAAAAATCTCTATTCGTTGACGTACAATTTAAAATCAAAGTACAAAATATTGTAAACTATTTATATTGCCTAAAAGCTTCACAAATATTATTGTTGAACTCAGTAAATAAAACCATTGAATCAATGTACACATAAAATCGGAAGAAACACCGATATGCTAGTCCGAAATACAATATTAGATTCACAATCAATCAATTTACAATTAAAAAATCACAGTAAGAAAAGTATTTCGCTTTGTAACTAATGTTCATTTTTTGCCAATATGGACGCTTGAGTTTGATGAGTGATGATAATTTCTGCAGGATGTTGTTCCCATGGTTCCCCATCAACCTGCATCGGAGCATTTCCACCAAAAAGACGGATCTGAAACAGAAGAGTTGTATATTCTAATTTTGTGAAAGTTATTGAACTTATAACGACAGCTTACCTATTGGGTACAATAAAGGACAGTGGCAGTGACACTTTATGACATTTCAAGGTTCCTGCCATTCCACTAACACTACATGCTTTATGACATCACTATCACAAAAGCTGCTATTAATTTTCGTGGAATTGCAAGAACAACAAGGTTTAGCTGAAAACTGGAATGGTGTCAATCAATCCCTTTAAAATATCCAGCTAGATATTTAAACTAATACAAACCTTAACAAACTGAGCCTGTCCTAATCTAATAGGTGAGGCCAGACCAACTTGTAGTTGAGCAATATGAAAAGAGGAATAGAGAGCCATAACTTCTAACATTTTATCATCATACCTACAAATATAAATTACAAACAATTTCACTTATAAAATTAACTATTGATTTAATCAATCCATGGTCATTTTTCTCAGAAACATTATAATCTAAAAGAAAGACAAACTTATAAATATACATTAAAAACATGAAAATAAATAAATTAGCTTGTGAGCTGAGGTAACATACACCCACTGGCAGCTTTGTTTGAATTAGAACATTAGACAGAATGGCTATCATCAAAACCATGAAGTAATCATGAGCAAGGCATGTTTTATTTTGGCAGGTTAACTAAGTTCCATGGTCATGGCGGACCTCCAAACATAGATAGCTGATTTAAAATTGTAAATTTTGTTGGTTTTTGATGAATTCATTCTGAAATTTGATTTACACAAAACAATCATGTTTAAAAGCATACAAATACCCATATTCTTTCTCTAGAAAATATCCTTTTTATAATTTCTCTGAAGAATGTAATCTTAATTCTCACAGAAACATGTTTATCAGAAATAGAAATCTTTTTTATAACCATATATAATAACTCAACCTATATTTTCACAGGAACATGTTTCTAAATGCTGAAAAAACACATTATTTATCAGGAAAAATCCTATTTTATAGCCATATAATACTGTAACCTATTTTGGGTGATAAATATATTTTAAAGGGCTGAAAAAGGGGCTAAATATTCTATCAATGGTGATAAAAGGACATTCACTGAGCTAGCTTATAAAAGATCAATAAATGTTTTAGAAATCTAATAAAAATATTTTCTTGATAATCAATGTATATAATAGTAGAGGAATTTATGAAGATAGGGCCACCCATTGATATGAGAGTCTGACTGTAAAAAAGGAGTTAGAAGAGGCCAATAAAGCTTATATTGAACCGCTGTGGTGTAGACCAATACAAGATTGTTAAGGTTATAGGAATGGGCGTCCCCTCGGCCCTCATAGGGGCAAATGGGGTCACCTGACCACCTGGAAAATTTTAAACGCAAAAACCTTCAAATCTAAGCAAAACTTCCACACAGCTAAAATGTCAGTCCCCATCCCACTAACACAAATTCTGCAAACACCCTTAGTTCTAGGGGCAAGTAAGGTGCTCAGTTTAATGAAAACTTTAGACTAATGTCTAGAGAAACATGTCCCCAAACATATCTGAAAGTTTTAACTAAAAGAATTTCGCTGTGAATTTTTAAAGCAGCCCAACCATTGAAATGATATACATGAAACCTTTTAAAGTTGTTTTGTTTTGTGTTTTAAAGCTCATGTACGTCAAATTAAATTTGATCAAATAGATACATAGAAGTAAATAGCATGTTTGAGAAATATTTTCACTTACAATTCACAAGTTCACAAAACTTTTATACACTGTTCTTTTAACTCTATGATAAACCAATATTATATGTATTATATATATGTATTATGTATTAAGATGTGGTGGTAAAAGTAAATTAGTCAAGTGAAACTAAAGGTATATATTATTATCTATATATATGACAGGTGCTCTCTATGACAGGTCAAATACTTTATATCTTTATAGTCAAAATAGTCCGAAACCAACTGATAATAACCTTACCTCTGATAGATATTAGTTAGGGATGAGTCAGAAAGCATAGATCTAGGGGCATGTTTCACAAAATCTTTCAACAAAAATTTTAAGAAATTAAGTATTCTGATTGGCTTATTAAGCTGAATTTATAATTGATTTTAGCTATTGGCCAATCGGATCACTAGAATACTAAAATCACTCTAAATTAAGTTTTGTAAAACAGGCACCAGCTTTATTATTGTGTGACAGTTCAACATTGTATTTATTTGAATGGATTATTTGCATCAGTGTTGCAGATGGCCATATGAAACAAATGCTTCAAGACCATGGTTTCGCTATTTTCAAGGGTTTTTTTTTGGTCTTGAATATATGTATATAGTCTTCAGAACTGAACTGCATAAAGATTGTATAATTCCTTCAAAAATACCTCAAAACCCTTAATCTCATGCTTACTTTCTTGCTAGATAAAACCTGTTAAACTCCAGTCAACAGTCAAGGTCAGAGAAAACAGGTTTTAGACCATTAAATACTTATTCAAGCTTCAATTCAAAGCTTTTATATCACAATAATACATGTCAAAACTTAATCTGTATTAATATTTCTAACATGATGTTATACATCTGATTGAATATGATCTAAATAACAAGAAAACCCCCTAAAATATCTGAAGCTGGGTGAAACCATACCTATGAAAAGATATCATTCTACTTGCAATGTTATTCTAGTATTCATCAATGATATAAAAGATGCAGAATACTTCCTTCTGTCTAAAGGTATATTTCTTTACACTGTTTATAAGATATATAGAAATAGGCATAGACAAAGAAGCACAAGATATATTGATATACTAACTCAGTTTCATGAGATCATACAGACAATGTTATCAAATATTATAAAGAATCACTAGATATATTGATATACTATTTCTAACATTTATTAACTCAGTTTCATGAGATCATACAGACAGTGTTATCAAATATTATAAAGAATCACAAGATATATTGATATACTATTTCTAACATTTATTAACTCAGTTTCATGAGATCAAGAGAAAATACAGGATGTAATAAGTCTAATAATAAGCTTATATATAATAATAATAATAATTTCTTCAGTGCAGAATAAAACTGTTAGTTGTGAATAAATGTTATCTTTAAGATTATCAGGTGGAGATTAAAATTAAACATTATCTCGATTGAGATACTAAGATAATAACTCTATTGTTCTAAATTATCAGTCAATGATAACTACCTAAATTATTTCTGAATATTCAAAACCTGATAAAAATAACTAATACTCAAATAATCATAGTCAAAATCATTATTCACCATGGTCATAATGAGTAGTTAGTCTAGTCAACCAAACTTTGTTGCTTGCTGCACTCTGGATTATTTCATCTTTAATATTCAAAAGAAAAGCAGAAAAGCAGTTATATTGTGTGTATTTGGCTACAAGATATCATAATAAGGTGTATTTAGAGTTTGGTCGACTAGACTAACTACTCATTATGACCATGTAATAACCGTTTATACAGTCATCAACACTCTACCTCTTACGCCTGATTTATCATACCAGATCACATTTTATTTTTTAACAAAACAACTTCGACTTAAAGATGTGAAAAAAAATACTAGTCTGAGGCCCCCCTGAGGTGAGAAGCCGGGCAGGAAGAAAAAACACATGGTTTGTTATAAGAGATCCTACTGATAAAATTATAGTAATATACTTCTAATGTCTGCTAAAATGGTGTCAAAATTACAACTTTAGACACAAAGGAATGTTTGATTTGCCTACCTTTGTGCTGTTGCATCAACATAAATTTATCTTCTTGTATGAAATCAATGCCATAAATGAAGTGACTTTTCTTGGCTCCTGATAAGGCAAACTTGCAGCATGCAATGGACAAGGGGTAGCAGCATTAGGTAGCCCCATTAGCCTACTTTCAGGAACCTTTAAACGACAAAGCCTCATACATACAATCCATGCATAGTCTGGGTTTGTTTTTCTAACTGAAAGAAGTCGCATTTTTCTATGATATCCCTTCTGCCTTGCATCACCAAGTTGAAATAATAAACTCTAACAATCTAGTGATAAAACTCTGTAAGCAGGGATGTTTGGCAAATCAAATGATATATATTTGGTATCTTAATGCTGGCCATTAACAAAACCCAAAACCCTTACTAACCTACTTGGTAACAAAGACACAAATATACCTGACTAAATAACACAGCAGGCTGAGGGCCATAGTTTGACAGAAATTATAGGGCTAGTAGGTAATATGTACAGAAGATTGTACCAAGCCTGTCCCCTGACTATTCATCTGTAAAATACCGATGATGACACGTCCATTCTCCCCTGTTTGTCTACTGTTATATGTTGGAAAAATTTTCCACATGATAGAAACTTTACAACATCTACTACTGACTTATATCATCTGTTTGTGAAACAAAATACCTGACATCATGGACTCTATGAATAAGTGGCTGTTTTCAAGGGTGGACAGGGAGCTCTAGGTCCTCTGATAATGGAGGTTTCCTAAGGCCTCATTCTTATATTTACCCAATTTCCTCATCAGAATCAGGCTGTTATATTTATTAAAAAGAAAAATATTAAAAATACTTTCAGACAATTTTCTAAAATCAGAGTCATAGGGCACCTGACCCCTCTAGGACTTGCAACTGCATCCAGTGGTAATTTTCTGAATTACATGATGAAAACCAATATGTACCTATCCAAATCGCAATCCACAAATCACACTTGAATTTCCAAATTTTTATAATGACTGGTATGTAAATATTTCAAAATATACCCCAATAAATAAATAATAAAATAAATAAATAAGTCGCTAAGATAGGCCTACTTTTGCTTTTGCTAAAATTATCAAAATTATAACTATAGTCAACTTGAGTGAAATTCACCTAGGTGAGTTAAGAACAGTTTTTATGGGTCCAAAATGAAATTAAAATTCCTCCAACAACATTAAATATATAGTATATTACTTTAACTTTATGTCTGAGTTGATATTAATCCGAAACTTCTCAACTCTTGACTTGTCTCTTATAGAGATATTGGTTTTTTATTATTTTGTTATAAAGAAATAATTCCTAATATGAAAAGTATATTAGCTGCTACTAATTTATTGCTAATATGTCCTCTTTTATTATTTTAGCTTGGTTCAGAAATACTATTATCAATCTTGGAAATGGGGGAGGAAAATTTGTAGAACCAGAGAACAAATGGGTTTTTAACAACTGCTTGCAAATAGAAGCATCTGAGTGAACCTCATCTACAGCTGGATTCACTGATCTCAGTACGTCAATGGCTGAAAAAAGTTGATTCAAGTTGTCATCATTATACTACTACAGCTGACAGGACTAATACTAGAGCTGACAGGACTAATACTAGAGCTGACAGGACTACTACTAGAGCTGACAGGACTAATACTAGAGCTGACAGGACTACTACTA